TAGAGTGAGGAATGCCTGTCAGAGTGTCCCACATTAGGCCGAGATGATCCTGCCAGTGTACTCGCTCGTCATTTATTAACTAGATTCACTAGATCACCGAGGAAGGGGTGATCTTGAGTAAAGTGGCTCTCTGTAGCTGAGGCAGACATGGAAGTAGGTGCCAGCCGGAGGCTGCCAGCTCACTGCACTCCCTGCAGCTGGGCAGAAAGTCTTACCTTGAAGATGGGATGTGGGGTGCCATCCCCACATCTTCCACACCAGTTTGATCCCAGTCTCTCACTGTGTGCCTGTCTACCACAGGAACTGTTTCCAAAGGCTCCATTCTAGGGCCTCCTCCCTAGTAAGAAACACCCCAGCTTAATTAGTTCAACTTATCCTAAGTACTTTCTACAGTACTCCCCTCTTCTCCATGGAGGATACATTCCAAGACCCCCAGTGGTTGCCTGAAACCACGGATAGTACTGAACCTTATATATACTATGTTTTTTCCTATACATACATACTTATGATAAAGTTTAATTTATAAAGTAGGCACAGTAAGAGATTAACAACAATAACTAATAATAAAATAGAGCAATTATAACAATACAATGTAATAAAAGTCATGTGGTCTCTCTCTCAATATTATTGTACAAATTTAATGCCTTTTTCATCTTAACTAAGCATTCATCAGACATTGTGGGTGTAACTTTTGCAGTTTGAGGTGTGATAGCAAAACTAGCACAAATTTCTTTTTCCTTTTTCACAATTTCACAGATAGAAGATTCGTTCTTACCTTAGATCTTAACAGCTTCAGCATATGATGTTTTTTCTTCCCTTATTAAGTAGAGAACTTTCCCCCTTTCACTTAAAGGAAGTGCCTAACGGCTTCTCTTTGGCGTATCCTAATTGCCAGCATCACTACTCTTGCACTTTGGGGCAAAAAAGCACATGAAAAAATGTTAAACATCACGAATTATAAGAGAAATGCAAATCAAAACTACAGTGAGGTATCATCTCACACCAGTCAGAATGGCCACCTTCAAAAAATATATAAACAATAAATGCTGGAGAGAGTGTGGAGAAAAGGGAACCCTCTTGCAGTGTTGGTGGGAATGTAAATTGATACAGCCACTATGGAGAACAGTATGGAGGGTCCTTAAAAAACTAAAAATAAAACTACCATATGACCCAGCAATCCTACTCCTAGGCATGTACCCAGAGAAAACCATAATTCGAAAAGATACATGCACCCCAATGTTCATTGCAGCACTGTTTACAATACAATAGCCAGGACATGAAAGTAACCTAAATGTCCATCAACAGAGGAATGGATAAAAAAGATGTGGTACATATATTCATTGGACTATTACTTGGCCATTAAAAAGAATGAAATAATACCATTTGCAGCAACATGGATGGACCTAGAGATTGTCATACTGAGTGAAGTAAGTCAGACACAGAAAGACAAATATCATATGATATTGCTTATATGTGGAATCTAAAAAAAGGGGTACAAATGAACTTATTTACAAAACAGAAGTAGAGTCACAGATGTAGAAAACAAACTATGGTTACCAGGGTATAAGGAGAAGGAGGGATTAATTGGAGACTGAGATTGACATATACACACTACTATATATAAAATAGATAACTAGTAAGAACCTGCTGGATAGCACAGGGAACTCTACTCAATACTCTGTAATGGCCTATATGGAAAAAGAATCTGAAAAAAGAGTGGATATCTGTTTATGTATAACTGATTCACTTTGCTGTACACCTGAAACTAACACAACGTTGTAAATCAACTATACTTCAAAAAAAAAAAAAAAAGTAAACCAAGGGCTGCTTGAACACAAGCACTGTGATAACTTGACAGTCGCTCTATTAACCAAGGCGGCTACTAAGTGACTGACGGGCGGGGCATGCTGGACAAAGGGATAATTCATGACCAAGCAGGAGGGAGCAGGACAGCATGAGATTTCAACACCACTCAGAACGGTGCACAATTTAAAACTTGTGACTCATTTATTTCGGGAATTTTCAATTTAATGTTTTCAGACCTCAGGTACCAGAAAGCATGGAAAGTGAAACCGTGGATAAGATGGCACCACTGTAATCAAGTTTCTCTATCTTATAAACTGCCAAAGTAACAGGCAGCTGATTGAAGAAATATGTTCCCACTTTAGGAAATCTGAGGTACTAAGGGAAAAGATACTACTATATAGTATCAGAAATAACATCACCAAGTAGTAGAAGTGCAGCATTCATGCTTCTGTCTGTATATACTCATGGGAAGGGTTGCTTTGTGATATTACCTCTAAGATACTGAACATGTGTGGCTTTGACAATTAATTCTTTCGCTCTGTGCAGTAGGTACTCTTACCTCCTATGTGGTTTCTGAAGAAAGCTATAGGCTTTCCAAATCCGTATTCCTGACTCTTACCATTCCTCAGCAGTAGTAGTATATTTTAATATTGACACAACACTTGAGTTGCAAAATGCATCAGCCATTATATAATGTCTGGCTAAGTCAATATGACTGTTTTTATGGTGAAAATTAATACTTTGGGTTTTTTTTGGCCACACCGCAGCAACTTGCAGGATCTTAGTTCCCTGACCAGGGATCAAAGCCACGGTCCCTGCAATGGAAGCGCAGAGTTCTAACAACTGGATCACCAGGGAATTCCTGATGCTTTGGTTTCTTTAAACTAAATGTTCTTATCCCTTTCATGTACCACCTCTTCATCTGGATCTGTTAGAGATAGTTGACATTGTGCTACCACATTTTCAGATATCCTATTAAAATACATTTAAGTAATGATCTGAACATAAAATGAGATCATATGAGTGCATTAAGTAGCAAGAAAGTGGGAACATTTCTAGCAGGAGCAAATCTCTCCAAGCAAGGATTGTTCTCTTGTTTTTCTGGACTCAAATGAACAGGCAAATTTAAATTTATCTGGGTTCTTCTCTATCTTAACTTAGAACACAATTAAATTAACTAGTTCAGAATTTAGCCATAACATCTTTAGTATTGAATACAAAAATGATGAAGTACATTAATTATTAAATATTCTTTTTAAAAAATATTTATTTATTTATTTATTTATTTGGATGCACCGGGTCTTAGTTGCAGCAGGTAGGCTAGTTTTGGATTGTGGGCTCCTTAGTTGCGGCATGCCTGTGGGATCTAGTTCCCTGACCAGGGATTGAACCCGGGTCCCCTGCATTGGGAGCTCAGAGTCTTAACCATTGAGCCACCAGGGAAGTCCCAAATCAAATTCTTGATTTGATATTATAGATTATGTAAATAATTCTGTGCCAAAATTTGAAGCTGAAGAGCTAATTGTTCTTTAATGTCTTTGACAACATAGTTTACAGATTTGCAAAAGTATTCAACTTACACCTTTTTGAGTGTGCACGTGTACAGCTATGCAGCGCTCTGATTGTAAACCAAAGGATCCTCAAACCCATGCTCTGTCAGATTCTTTCTGAGGATGTAAAAATCTTTGATCTCTTGGGCTTCCCTGGTGGCGCAGTGGTTGAGAGTCCGCCTGCCGATGCAGGGGACATGGGTTTGTGCCCCAGTCTGGGAAGATCCCACATGCCGCGGAGCGGCTAGACCTGTGAGCCATGGCTGCTGAGCCTGCGCGTCCGGAGCCTGTGCTCCGCAACGGGAGAGGCCAGAACAGTGAGAGGCCCACGTACCGAAAAAAAAAATCTTTGATCTCAGAGAGCAGGCTTCCTACTAATTATTGGTTCTGGAAAACAAACAAATAGAAAACACAACGTCTTTGTTTTTAAGACTTTGAAAGCAACAGTTTTTCATATTAGCTTGCTCAGGCACTAGAGGGGAGCGTGGTGTTATTCAAGTGCTGCATTCTGCAAAGTATGTATACCCTGGCATGCCCAGACACTGGGAAAAGGTACAGCAAAGAAGGGCTTAGAAAAATATTTTCCTGAGATTAAAATAGGACAACTTTGGTTTCCAAAAATCTACTGCAATCTAGTGTTTTACACAAAAATTCCCAATATAGGGATTTGATCCCTTTTTAGTGACAATATCTTTCAAATAATTTGATTTTCAAAACCTTATTGTTATTTTAAAATTATATATGCTCACTGATTTTTAAAAAGAAAGTCAAACAATAGAGAAAAATACAAAGAAGAAAGTGAACACAACTGGAACTCACATGATATATTCCCACCACACGGGGGAGGATTCTTTCAGACATCTCTCTCTTTCTCTCTATATATACAGAAATATGCATATGAATTTAAATACATAAAATGATATTGTACCTTCTCTTTCCAGAATGGTATTGTTGCAGACGGAGTACACATCTTTCTGTGGCAGATGACTTGATTCTTGGTGGTAATGCATAGTGGTTGTGGGTAGGAGGAGTCACAGAGCCTAGGGTTTAATTTCTTCTCCACTCACTATGTGACATTGGGCAAGTGATTTGACCCATCTCTACGTACCTCGATTTCCTCATAATGCAAAAATGGGGATGATAATATTACCTACCTCAGAGAGTTGATGTGAGAGTAAAATCAGATCACGTAATTGTTTGACAGTACCTGCAGCATAATAAGTACTTAATACAGTTTAACTGTCTTAACTAAATATAAGTTTCAACTTCATAGTAACACTGAAGGTTGTTAAAATACGAACGTGGGATATTTTTTTCAAATAACTTTCATCATGATAATCCCAAACCATGCTTTTAACGTAAATTATTATTGCTTCTACATAAAACTATATCTCCACTGTCACTGATATTTGCATGCAGCAAACACTATGAGCTTATTGACTGATCTACCTGAAGACTTTAACAGAAGGAGATGAACTACCTTTTTATGAAGGCCTCTTTAAGAATTGTTCTGTGGAATGCAAGGTGCCTTTAAGCAAGAGAGTTTTACTGCACTGGCTTTATAAAACATGACTCCAACTAAAAATGCCTGTTAATTATTAAACCCTTATGTATAATCTGGATACCTGACACTGCTGATACTGCAGATTGAGAACTGAGAGTTTTTGTCCCTCAAGTTAAGCCAATAGAAAAAGGTAGTTATCAGGGGATTTAAAAACCCCAAAACTTTTCCTCTTATATTTATTAAAGAGTGTGGGGTATCTCCTGTTTTGGCTGGCATATCTAGCGCCTAAACAACTGGTTTAACCTTGTTTGGGATTCCTGCTTGTTTTAGCATGGCGGATCTTGGAGCTCACAGAATCCTCCTTCTGGTTATTTCTCTGACAAAGTGTCTGGAGGGCACAAAACTGCTGGCAGACTTAAAAAAATGTGGTGACTTGGAATGTGAAAGTAAGTCGCTTTTCTTTTTTTCCTTCTTTTCCTCTTAAAATGAGGCTCTGAAATGATACAAAATGTTATTGTGGACATGTATGATAAAAATGAACGTTAATATCATTGAGAAATATTTATAAGGTATAGTACACTATAAAAGAGAAATGCTGGAAGCTAAGTATTTTGTGATCGTTTTTAATGTAAATATACAAAGGGGCAAAGATCAGCCTGATATATAAATATATAAGAAATTTTAAGGCTATTAATCCAGATCGCAAAAACAAACTAATTAGCACTTTTATTATTTTTTAAGAAAAATGTGATTGATTTGTATTAAAAAAGATATCAAGCCATTTGATAGTTATTTTTATGAAGCCCTTACATTTTTTAGTTTCTATTTCACAATCAGAAGTTTCTGATTCTCATGAGTTTTCTAAGACTGTTTTTATTTCAAACCGTCATGATCTATTGTGTAAACTTTATCAAACATTAATTATTTCTGTGTTCCCTTATTATGCAAAAATACTGAAATCAGTGTTAGGAATACATAATTTTATTTATATCTTTGAATATTAAACTTCCTTCTGCTACAAAGAGAAATTAATTTTCATTTTATTGCTTAAGAACTTATTTTCTGAAATTGGCATTATGGTACAAAATGAATAGCATCCCAGTATATTAGAATTGCTTTATATTGTTCTATCCCTCCAGTATGTGAGAATTACTTCGAATTTGCAACATGTAATTAAAAATGCAAAATATTATTAGTATGAACATAAATGATTTAAAAGTAAATTTTTTATGTGTAAACATTTTCCTTAATCATTTGGATACATAATTTCATATAGAGAGAATGTTTACTAGATGATGTTTTATGATAATATTATTATAACAACTTTTCTTTCCTTCTTTACAACCTCATTTTAGTTTCCTTAGGGCTAGGCACATAACATGAAAAGAGAACATTCAAATTTATAGTAATTGATAAAAGTTATTTTAACTTTAATTGCACAACTTAATGAAAATGTTTTACATATGCCAGTATAATTATAATCATTAATAAGGTATGTATATTACTTTATGTGCTGAAGGGCTAAATCTAGCATATGTGGTTATGGTCTTTCATAGTTATTAAGGGCCTATTATGTGCTGGGTCTGGGGGATGAGGGGTGTGTATCTAAGAGGGATAAAATGAAATGTAAGGTAAGTTTCTTGTCCTCTAGGGATTTTCATTCTAGTGAATGATGACAAGACAGGTCAATATGAAACAGTAAATAGTAATACAACATAAGGATAACAGATAATATTGAAATTCAGAGAAGCGGCAGAGTAAGATGGACCAATTAGGGATGTCTTATAGCGGAAGTAGGATATGAGTTGTCCATGAAGAGAGACTGATGGGTTTTTAGAAAGGCTTAGGAAAAAACAGAAAGAAAACTCAATACAGAAGGCGGATGTTGCAGTGAAAAGAACTTCAGTTCAAATCTGGCTCCACCATTTATCAGGTGTGTGACCAACTCTTTGATACTTAATTAAAGGCTCATTTTTTAGTCTGAGATGAGATTATTTATCTCATAAGTCTGTTCTGAGGATTTAATAATAGCAGTAATAAAAGGTATGAAAGAGCTTATCATGATGCCTGTTGTATAGTAGGTGCCAGAAGAAAACTAATTATCTTTTCCTTCCCTTCTCTACTGTGTGTTTTTCTCTGCATGTTTACATAGCTTTAATAAGCAGAGTCTTAGCTATAAGAGATTACAGAGGACCTGACTGTCGATACCTGAACTTCACTAAGGGAGAAGAGATATCTGTTTATGTTAAACTTGCAGGAGAAAGTGAAGATTTGTGGGCAGGAAGTGTAAGTATCTAATCTTACAAATTGAATACAGAATAAATGACTAGCTTGCACAAGGATGCCTGGTGTTCATCTCTAAAGGAACTTTAAATATTTCAAAGTACTTTATATATATATTAAAAACCCTTAACATATTTAAACAAACAAACAAAAAAATGGTCATGTTCAGTGTTGGTTCCAGAATTTCTATAAAAAGTAGCTTTGGGGAAGCCAGTCTGGTTGGGATGAAGGCTTAAGAGTGCCTTGAAACTACTTTTACACAGCATGCATAGTGTTTGAACTTAGGTTTTATATTTATTTAGAGAGACTTTTAGAGGTGCCAATGGAGATTATGGGATGGCTAGGTAACCCCAGCCATCCCTTGGTGCTACCAATGGCCAAGTTTAAGAGAGACTGGGAAGTTTTAGTTAATCAGATTAAATGACATGTCTTGGGAATTCCCTGGTGGCCCAATGGTTAGGACTCTGTGCTTTCATTGCCGAGGGCGCAGTTTCATTCCCTGGTTGGGGAACTAAGATCCCACTTGGCCAAAAAAAGAAGAAAAAAAAAAAAGACATGTCTTTCTGAGCAAATAAAGGACTGAGTTTCTATTGAAGAGATCCTTAGAAAGATCAGTAACCTAGCGAAGCGAGGTATATGAATTTTTCGTGGAGAAAAAGAATAACTGAGAGAGACCACTGTTTGGCCCAAAGTCCTATTACACTGAAATGCCTAGATGCCTGAATCACCTCTCTGAATATACAGATAGAAAAATTAATGATTAATATTTTCAGTTGAATATAGGTCTCTATCTTAGATTATATCATGCCTTAGAATGAAAAGATACCATGACAAGTGACTTTACTCCCAAGCTGAACAAGCATGACCAACCTGATACATCATTTCCATATTGCGTATGCATAAGATCTCTTCCCTGTGTAGCCTCTGTGATCTTTATTTGAAGGAGCAGATTCTATTTGGGTCTATCCTGCTTTTTAGCATGAGGGACTACATGACTGAACCTCAGACTGTTGTTGGCCAGAATTGTTTACCTGGACTTTGCAGCTCCCAAGACTTGTTACTGCTTATGGTGCCTTGAACATGCCATTTCTCTGTCTTGAATGCATGGGAGGTATCCAATGCAACTATAAGGAAAATGACACAGTATCATAAGAGGAAAAAAAAGCATTCTTTTTTGTTTACTATGTGTGAAAATGATAGTTCCACACAAAAGCAGCATGTAATGTGTGGAGCCAGGGTGACGTTTCAAGCACACTTGGTTTTGTGCCTTAGGTGTCTAGTCCAGGCAGATAACTGTTTAAGAAGCCATACTGTGTGGTTGGGACTCTGGGCTTTCATTGCCAGAGGGCCTGGGTTCAATCCCTGGTCAGGGAACTAAGATTCCGCAAGCCCCACTGGCATGGCCAAGAAAAAGAAGCCACACTGTGGAGTTCATTCCGTCAGTTTCCAAATAATTGCAGCAACTGGAGAGCTGGAAGAATCACAGTTGAGGTATAATGGTGCTGAATCAAAGGGCCAAAAGAAATATGCTCTTTAAACTTTGACAGGGGTGGGAAATGGGCCGAGAGCGGTTATGTGAAGCCTTCACTCTTGGGGGACATCTTGTATGCACTTAAACCAATTGAGAGGATCTCTGTTACCAAGGTACCCTCAGAAAAGTTGTATGGAACCAAATGCACCCTGGAAGACTCATAGATCTTTACTATCTTGATGAATCCACCTCAGCCCTTCAGAGTTTAAACATCTTACCCAATTTTGACATCCTGAAAATGCTGCATATGTCACAGCTCCATCTTGCTTGGCTACAGTCACAATTCTCTTGCTTTTTGATATTCCAGGTTTACTAGTGTAAATCTGTGGTCCACCTGGGCAAGAAAGGTCATTAAGAACAGAAAAAGAAAGAAAATGTGTGGTTTTCCCTCTGAAATCTGAAAAAGTGGCATTTTATAGCTTGGCCCTTTTTTCCCTCAGATTTATGCTGTTCTGTCGAGTAGCAAAAGGAATATGATTTCACTTTCTTTTAGATGGTAAATGAAAGCCGTTAATGTTTGTAATTTGAAATAGATGAAAGCCAAGGACATGAAACAAAATTAAGCTCAATGGCTATTATTGCTCTGGTCACTCTTACTTGCTAATCTTCATTCTTCATTTTGATAGAAAGGAAAGGACTTTGGGTATTTTCCCAGAGATGCAGTCCAGATTGAAGAGGTGTTCATATCTGAGGAAGTTGAAATATCAACAAAAGTGAGTAAACTCATTTCAGTTATTAATTGAATTTATTTATTTATTTATTAAAGAAAATTTATATTTTATTTTCTCTAACAAAAGAAATAGTTGTAAACACCCAAGAATTCTCTTTTCCAATCACCAATAGTTTTTTTCTTCTTCTTTTTTAATGAATGTATTACTTTATTTATTTTTATTAATTGATATCAGAGTATAGTTGCTTTATCGGTTATTAACTGAATTTAAAAATTTTTGGCTAAAACAGTTTTCTGTGGTATAAGTGCCCATCAGTTATACATCTTATATAGTGGATATATAAAATAGTCTGAAAACTCACTCTAGGAATAGTTTGAGTATGTGAATAAAATCAGGTAAGACAGGATTGATGACAAGGATTTTGCTTACTGAAAAATTAACAGGCAGTAAAGTATAGTGGTTAAGAGCATGGATTCTGGAGGTGGACTGGGTTCAAAGCCTGACTCAACCACTTAGTTGCCATGTGGTCTTGTGTGCCTTTTTTCTCATCTGTAAAATGAAGATGATGATTATAATATAGTGCTACCTTAACAAATTTATTGAGCAAAAAATGAGCATATTGGGCTTCCCTGGTGGCGCAGTGGTTGAGAGTCCGCCTGCTGATGCAGGGGACGCGGGTTCGTGCCCTGGTCTGGGAGGATCCCACATGCCGCGGAGCGGTTGGGCCCGTGAGCCATGGCCGCTGGGCCTGCGCGTCCGGAGCCTGTGCTCTGCGACGGGTGAGGCCACAGCGGTGAGAGGCCCACGTACCGCACACACACACACACACACAAATTAGCATATGTAAAGTACATAGAACAGCACTTAGTAAGTGCTATGTAAGTGTTAGATATTATTACTAATGTTATTGTCCTACTGGGACAGAGTTTATTTCCCATCACACTCTCTAGGTCTCATATCTGTAAACCTCTTTTGCTGTTGGAGTTTCAAATGAACTTGATAATGCTGGGCTTGATAATGAGAATGGGAATCAGAAGGTGACTCTTCAATACGTGAATTTGATTAGCCCATTTAATTCACATTCCAAGTTAAGCCTATTTACCTTACATGAGGTCAGTGTGAAGTCAGTCTGCCTAGTTAAGTAAACTATTATCTGGCTCTTTTCCAGCACAAATTCTGGGATTAAATGTCTATTTACTGTATAACTACTGGTCCCATCAGTTCTGTCTCCAAAATATATCTGTCTTCTCTTCATTTTTACTCTCCCCATAGCCCTGATTCAAAGCATCATTGTCTCTTGAGTAGAACACTGCAGTAGGTTTCTAACTGGTCTCCTTGCCCCTACTTTTGCCCTCTTCCAATTCATTCTCCAGACAGCAATGGATCTTATAGATACAAAAACAAAGAAATCAGATCATGTCATTCGCTTGGTTTAAAGCCTTTTCATGGCTTTGCATTGAACGTGGAATCAAGCCCTGACTCCTTACCCTGGCTCTACATGATCTGCTGCTGCCCCCGCTGCTGACACTGTCACATGCCACTCTCTCCGCACTCACTATGCTCCTGGCCACACTGGCCTATTGATAGTTCTTAGAACATGCCAAGCTCTTTCCTAGCCCAGAAACCCAAACGGGGTGTTCCCTCTGTTTGGAATGCTTCCCCTAAATTCTTCACCTGGTTGGTTCCTTCTTATCCTTTAGGACATAGCTGAAACATCAGTGCCTCAGAGAGCTCTTCCATGATGATTCTAAAGGAATTACTGCTTCTTAATCACAACTTCCTGTTTACTTCCTACATAGCACTTATCACAATTTATAATTACGTTTTTCTATTGTTTACTGTAGAATTTCAGCACCTGGCACAGTGCAGAGCACATAGTAAGCATATAGAAAGTCCAAATTCTTTATTTTTTAAAAAACATGTATTTATTTAGGCTGCACCGGGTCTTAGTTGCGACATGCATGTGGGATCTAGTTCCCCAACCAGGGATCGAACCCGGGCCCCGTGCGTTGGGAGCGTGGAGTCTTACCCACTGAACCACCAGGGAAGTCCCTAGAAGGCCCAAATTCTTAGGTCAAGTTCCCTGGGAAATAGAATCCGAGATGGATCTTTGCATCCAAGAGGTTTACTAGGGAGTACTCTTGGGAGTAGCACCTGTGAGGGAATACAAGAAAAAGCAGGATTGGGCAGACAGAGAAGTTGAACTGTGATCCAGTTGCAACAAAGGTTTCAGGTGATTCCATAAGGAGCTTTGAAGCTGGAATGGGCTTTCAGGGTTGTCCTGAATAGAGGCAAGGGGTTGGGCCTTTTTATCCTTGCATGACTGGCTCATCTGGGGTAGTGTAAACTTGGGCTAGGTTAGGCTAGTATTTACTAGAGACAGTTGCTATTTTAATTACTTGATTCATTTAATCCTCACAACACCCCTATAAGGTAGGTACTGTCATTATTCTCATTTTACAGATGAGGAGACTGAGGCATAGAAAGGTCATCCTATTCGCCCAAGGTCACAGAGCTAATAAACGGCAGGATTAGGATTTGAACCCAGAGTGTTTGGCTCCAGCGTCTGTTGTTAATCACCTACTATGTTGCAGTGCCAAAAAATACTGTAAAATTGCAATTCTGAAGTTTATTTTTGTAAAATTCTGAGCTTTATTCTCATTTCATAATGGTGATATCCAAAGAGCAGTGTATATCACTGTTTCATACCTTCAGATAAAAAAAAAATAGCTTCACCATTTTTCTTCTTGATGATTTTGTTGTTTTGTGAGATGAGCAAGGGGATCACTGCTTCCATCGGCTACATGCAATATCTCAATAAAAGAAGTCTAAGTGGGGACTTCCCCAGTGGTCCAGTGGTAAAGAATCTGCCTTCCAATGCAGGGGACACAAGTCCGATCCCTGGTCGGGGAATTAAGATCCCACATGCCACGGGGCAACTGAGCCTGCACACTACAACCACTGAGCTCGCGCAGCTCAACCTGCGTGCCGCGAACTACAGAGCCCATGTGCCCTGGAGCCCGCATGCCACAAGTAGACAGAAGCCCATGTGCCACAGCTACAACCCAACGCAGTCAAAAAAAAGAAGTTTTGTTAGTGCAACTTCTAACCAGGCCTTCATGCTTTAGAGTCTTTGGATGGTCTGAGCTGTGACCATATGCTGTAAATTCCCCTCCCTGAAAGCGCTGCACAGCTGCGTATGTCCATTCAGTGTACCCTTACCAGGAGCAAGATTTTGTGGCCATATACGCCTGTTCACTAGAGTTTATTTGCAGAATATACTCAATACTTGATTGCCTCTGCTTCTGAATTTCTTCAATTATTTGATAATAAATAAATCCTAATGCAAGAGGATTTTCATTTAGGTTTATATCATTAACCCTGAAAAGTCAGTTATGGTACAAGTGTTTGAGATTAGGAGTTTTTGCTCTGCTGTTGAGCTAGTTGTGTGGCCTTGGGAAAATCATACTCATCCATTTTAAATGATTTCAGAGAAACAAGGAGTTTTTGTATATTAATGTCAATCGTAACGTTTTTTCTTTCAGGAATCTGACTTTCTCTGTCTTCTTGGAATAAGCTACACATTTGAAAATGAAGATAGTGAGTTAAACAGTGGTAATGGTGAAAATATACATCCATATGAAGAAGGCAAGGATCCCAAATCTAGAGTATATGAAAGTGATTTTCAGATAGACCTTGGCTTTTATTCAACTTCTGAAAGTACTTTGTTTGAAGACCAATTTCCAGCATCAGAGGCTCCTGAAGATATCAGAAGTACTAGTGAATCAAAAGATTGGGAAACAGTAGAAGCTGGAAATGTGGAACAGTATCCTATTCCAGAAGGGGATCATGTCCTACCATCCTCAGCTATTCCTGAAGTGAAAGGATGGTTTGGATTTGGAAAGGACCAAGCTGGAGAAAAGACTTTTGAATCAGCTACTGAACCTCTAGAAGAAAGCTCATTTCGAAGTAGAAAAATAACAGTGGAAGATGAGAATGACCCAGAGGGATTAAACAATGGTGAGCCCCAAACAGAACATAAGCAAGAACTTGAATCAGAATTTGATTCAGTGCCAAAGAAACAGTCTGAATTAGTGTCTGAGTCAAAGTACATCCTCAATCCTCAAGACACTGGTTGGTTTGGTGGTGGATTTACAAGTTATTTTGGTTTTGGGGGTGAGGATACAGGGCTTGAATTATTGTCCAAAGAAAGCAACCCACCATTACAAGATGTTCCTAGTTCCATATCCTCTGAGGAAGAACGCACCGTTCCGTGTACAGAAATATTAACAGAAAAAGAAGACACAATCACTAATGATAGCTCAATTCTCAAGCCAAGTTGGTTTGATTTTGGTTTTGCTATGCTAGGATTTTCATATGCTAATGAAGATAAAATTATATCAGATGATGGAAAAAATGAAGAAGAAGGTGGGGGAGATAAACATGGACATCCTCCAACAAGTGAATTTGACCCTGATAAGGAACAAGAAATAAAAATAATAAAAATTATGGAAACTGAAAATCAAATAGGCAAGAAAAGGGTCTTAGAGAAAACAGACGATTCTGATACTTTACCATATTTTAAAAAGTTCTTGTATAATTTTGACAACCCCTGGAACTTCCAGAACATTCTAAAGGAGACAGAATTGCCATTTCCCAAAGAGACACTGGATGAAAATAATGGAGGTGAAAATGATAAAAGAGAAGAATTTTCAGTTGAGTATTATCCCACAGATAATACGGAAGATATGATGTTGAAAAACGGATACAGTCAGCCAGGTTAGTGTAAAAATATCTATAATATGATTTCTTTTTAAAATATAATCTATTTAAAAAATTTTTATACAGCAGGTTCTTATTAGTTATCTATTTTATACGTATTAGTGTATATACGTCAATCCCAATCTCCCAATTCATCACACCACCACCCCTCCCCCCCCACTTTCCCCGCTTGGTGTCCATATATTAAACATAATCTATTTTTAAAAGTGCAAATCACATGAAACATCCAGGAATCCATATTTCTCAAAATACTCAGTAATCAACAACAACTTTATCAATCACCCTTTTATCAATTTCTGGTTTACTCTGGGATTTAGTAGATCTTAATATCATAAAATAAAATCCCAAGGGACAAAGAATGATTGGCTATACATGGATGTTTCAAAGAGATTTCAAGGTATATTACAATAAGCTTTAATCAAACTATTATACGTAAACAGGTTAAAAATATAAATAGTGCTAAGGTTTTGTTTTGTTTTTTTTTTAACAAAAGCAATTTCTGTTCCCTCTGTCCATTTCTACTTCTACTTCTGTCCCAGGGACAATAATTTCCTTTATTTTTTATTTTATTTTTTTGCGGTACGCGGGCCTCTCACTGCTGCGGCCTCTCCCGTTGCGGAGCACAGGCTACAGACGCGCAGGCTCAGCGGCCATGGCTCACGGGCCCAGCCGCTCTGTGGCATGTGGGATCTTCCCGGACCAGGGCACGAAAATGTGTCCCCTGCATTGGCAGGCGGACTCTCAACCACTGTGCCACCAGGGAAGCCCTCCTTTATTTTTTTAAGAAAATTTCTTTTAGTGTTTATCTCTATTTTCTAAATAAAATATTTATATTCTTCTTTGAGTAACCTATTTTAGGTGATGTTCATTGACTTCCTGTTCTGTTAGGTGAGAATTTTTTCTTATTTGCACTCACTTTTTAGCTCATTTACACCTTCCCAATATAGCTATATCTGAATGGTGTTCTTAGAAACCTGAGCTAAGGTAATTTAAAATTGTCTTGATTCCTGAATGATATTTTATTCTAGATCTATAGCTCCTCCCCGCAAAAAGATCTATGATAACAAAGGTTTTCTTTAAGTGTACAAGATAATAAGGAAACTCAAGCAAAAACAGTGTAAAAGGTTTTCAGCTTTCTTCCTCAAGCCTCTCAATTCTGGGAGATCAACAGAGGGCAACAGAAGAGAGCAGAGTATCAGAGGATACTTCTAGATCTAGATGTCCAGGTATCTAGCAACTCCTATGATTAAAAACAAGTGGATAGTATTTTAAGTAAAGAATTATATAACATGACTTTCCCACATCTCCATTCTGATGTCTCTATGATGGACAGATTAGAAACTCAATAAATATTGACCAATAATACAGAAACAATCGAATCCTAGAATGACAGAAAAACTTTCAAAAGAAGAGATCAACAATGTTGCAAACTCAGAAGGAAACACATTTCACTGGTGCTGGTTGATTATCTTGAATTTCCAGAAGAACTATATGTTATTTCTTAATATTCTACAAAATATGAGTTCTTTACTTGATCAACATCCTCAACCAGAATATAGACTTTAGATTCTAACCCTTTTCTAAATAAGAAAGGTGGTGTGATGATTTTCATGATTGAAAACATTAGAGACCTAGATTTTCAAAGGCTAGAGGAAATTACTTTGTTCTAAGCTTGTTAGATCCTAAGGGAGTATTAGTGAAAAAGCAGATGAGTAATTGGAAAGAAGAGAGACTAAAAGAAAACAATATCAGACCCAGAAATACAGTATTCAAAATATAGATATATAAAAATATTTTAGAGCTTATTTATAGAAACTTCAGGGCATTCTGAATATCATTTTAGTAGAATTTATCATTTCATATAGTGATGCTGGGAGAATTTCTAAATATGAATAACTTGGTAGATAGTCAAATGAGAACAGGGCATTTATGCAATTATAACTAGTTTTGAGGGACTTTTATAAAAATGTTAAGAAATTCCTTTAAGTTTCAGAAAAAAGATGTCTTACTATATAAATACTTCAAAACATTTCACTATTAATTAAATGAAAAACAAGCTGGGGTCATGCAAAGTTTGTTTTAAAAAAGAATACTAGGGACTTCTCTGGTGGTCCAGTGTTTAGGAGTCCGCCTTCCAATGCAGGGGGACGCGGGTTTGATCCCTGGTTGGGGAACTAAGATCTCACATGCTGCAGGGCAACTAAGCCCGCGTGCTCTAGAGCCTGAGAACCCCAACGAAGAGCCGGCACATGGCAACGGAAGATCCCTCATGACGCAACAAAGATCCCGAGTGCTACAACTGAGACCCGACACAGCCAAATAAATAAATAAATAAATACTAAAAAAAAAAAGAAGAATACTGAAAGAGGGATCCAGCTAAAACCACAGACTCTATTTTCTCAATATTGGAGAAATAGCTAAAATAGCCAATATTTTCAGATAATTTCAACAACTCTTTCAGGGAATAACAAATGAAAATTTGACTTATATAGAAAGAGTGCATAAGGAAAATGAATTACTGATCTTGAAAAAGTATTTGTGAAAAGCTGAGGTTTGAGATAACCACATTTATAAAAAGCTAATATCCTGAGATAAGAATTTACAAAACAGACAAATTAGGGAACAATTATTTATATTACAATATTAATAGATCCTAAGGGAATATTAGGATATTAGGACTCTATTTTACAAAAGGACTCCAAACTGAGCTTATTAAATAATGAATTTCCCAAGTACAGTTAAATATGAAAACTATTCATTATTTTATTTGAATTAAAATTGTTTATTAATTTATTAACAATTGTAAGAAAGTCATATCTGTATCTAATGTACTTTTTTAAATTGAAGTATTGTTGATTTACAATGTTTCAGGCGTACAGCAAAGTGATTCACTTATACATATATAACTGAATATATATGTATAAGAATATATGTATATTCTTTTTCAGATTCTTTTCTATATTAGGTTACTATAAGGTGTTGAATATAGTTCCCTGTGCTATACATTAGGACCTTGTTGTTTATCCATTTTATATACAGTAGTGTATAACTGTTAATCCCAAATTCCTAATTTATCCCTCCCCCGCTTTCCCCTTTGGTAACCATAAATTTGTTTTCTATGTCTGTGAGTCTATTTCTGTTTTGTAAATAAGTTCATTTGTATCATTTTTTAGACTCCACATATAAGTGATATCATATGATATTTGTCTTTCTCTGACTTACTTCATTTAATATGATAATCTCTAGGTCCATCAATGTTGCTGCAAATGGCATTATTTCATTCTTTTTTTATGGCTGAGTAATAGTCCATTGTATATGCATACCATCTTCTTTATCTGCTCATCTGTCAATGGACATTTAGGTTGCTTCTATGTCTTGGCTATTTGTAAATATTGCTGCTATGAACATTGGGGTGCCTGTAACTTTTCAAATTATAGTTTTCTCGTGATATATGCCCAGGAATGGGATTGTTGGATCATATGGTAGTTCTATTTTTAGTTTTTTAAGAAACCTCCATACTGTTCTCCATAGTGGCTGTATCAGTTTACATTTCTACCAACAGTATAAGAGGGTTCCCTTTTCTCCACACTCTCTCCAGCATTTATTGTTTGTAGATTTTTTGATGATAACCATTCTGACTGGTGTGAGGTGATACCTCATTGTACATTTGATTTGAATTTCTCTAATAATTAGCAACATTGAACATCTTTTCATGTGCTTCTTGGCCATCCAGATGTCTTCTTTGGAGAAATGCCTATTTAGGTCTTCCACTCATTTTTTTGATTGGGTTGTTTGCTTTTTTGATATTGAGCTGTATGAGCTGTTTGTATATTTTAGAACTCAATCCCTTGTCAGTTGCATCATCCACAAATATTTTCTCACATTCCATAGGTTGTCTTTTTGTTTTGCTTATGTTTTCCTTTGCTGTGCAAAGCATTTTAGTTTAATTAGGTCCCATTTGTTTATTTTTGGTTTTGTTTCCATTTCCATCTCTAGGAAACAGATCTCCCAAAATACTGTTGCAATTTATGTCAAAGAGTGTTATGTCTATGTTTTCCTCTAAGAGTTTTATAGTATCCAGTCTTACATTTAGGTCTTTAATCCATTTTGAGTTTATTTTTGTATGCAGTATTAGAGAATGTTCTAATTTCATTCTTTTACATGTAGCTGTCCAGTTTTCCCAGCACCGTTTATTGAAGATACCGTCTTTTCTCCATTGTATATTCTCACCTCCTTTGTTCTAGATTAATTGACCATAAGTGCATGGGTCTATTTCTAGGCTCTCTATCCTGTTCCACTGATCCATGTATCTTTGTTCCAGTACCATACTATTTTGATGACTGTAGCTTTGTAGTATAGTCTGAAGTCAGGGAACTTGATTCCTCCAGCTCTTCTTTTTCAAGATTGTTTTGGCTTCTAATGTAAGTCTTATAGCTTAGATTTAAGTAATGTGAAAATAATACCTCAAAAGTATAATCAGGGCTTCCCTGGTGGCGCAGTGGTTGAGAGTCCTCCTGCCGATGCAGGGGATGCGGGTTCGTGCCCTGGTCTGGGAAGATCCCACATGCCGTGGAGCAGCTGGGCCCGTGAGCCATGGCCACTGAGCCTGAGCATCCGGAGCCTGTGCTCCGCAAGGGGAAAGGCCACAACAGTGGGGGGCCCGTGTCCCGCAAAAAAAAAAAAAAAAAAGTATAATCAAATATAAAATTATTATAGGAAATTTTCATCTTCTTCACATATATTTATTTCAAATGTAGTATAAAACAATATTTAAAATAAACCAATTTAGGCACATATAAATTTGGTGTAATTAATTGTTGAATAAGCCTTTTTTTCCCCTAATGCCATTAAACATCATTGTAGATCACTGTTTGAGTCCTGTATTTACAATAGTCCTATTGTATTCAGACTCCTGAGTTGATTGTTCATTTTTAAGTTTAATGTCCACAGGTGGCATGAGTAAATTACAGATGTGTGTTTGCTTACTTGGGACTTTCATCTTTTAAACAATGCTAAGTAAGTGACAGCATCAAAGCCATGTGTTAAATTCATAACTCAAAGAGCAAAGTTAGACATTGAATAATTCAGTTAGGACTATTCTTTTTTTCTTTTTTAATTTTTATTATATATATATATATATATTTATTTATTTATTTATTTATTTTTTTGGTACGCAGACCTCTCACTGTTGTGGCCTCTCCCTTTGCGGAGCACAGGCTCCGGACGCACAGGCTCCGGATGCGCAGGCTCAGCGGCCATGGCTCACGGGCCCAGCCACTCCGCGGCATGTGGGATCTTCCAGGACCGGGGCACGAACCCATGTCCCCTGCATCAGCAGGCGGACTCTCAACCACTGCGCCACCAGAGAAGCCCAGGACTACTCTTTAATATTGTTTTTCAGGGCTGCACTGATACTTTTCTATCCTTGTCTTAAAAAGTAACTGAGGAATAAATCCCACAATTTACTTGAATACTATAGCTCAGACTAGGACTAGTTAGACCTTTTTTTTTTTAAATCCTGTTTGATTAGTTCATTGAATCAGGTGATCAGTTTATACTATGTTTGAAAATTGAATTGTCTTAAATTGATGGCTATTTGACATGGTATGCACATGTACGCATATGATGACATGGTATGCATATGATGCAGCATTACAAATGTGTAAAATTATGACATATATGTTTCAAGTTAATTTTTCTTATTTTGGGGAAGGGTGATCCTTTTTATTTTTATTATTTTTTATAAATTTTAAAATAAGTTTATTTACTTTTTATTTATTTTTGGCTGCATTGGGTCTTTGTTGCTGCACACGGGCTTTCTCTAGTTGCGGCAAGCAGAGTCTACTGTTCGTTGCAATGTGCAGGCTTCTCTTGCTGTGGAGCATGAGCTCTAGGCCCGCGGGCTCAGTAGTTGTGGCTCGCAGGCTCTAGAGCGCAGGCTTAGTAGTTGTGGCACACGGTCTTAGTTGCTCCGCAGCATGTGTGATCTTCCTGGACCAGAGCTTGAACATGTGTCCCCTGGATTGGCAGGCGGATTCTTAACCACTGTGCCACCAGGGAAGCCTGGTAATCCTTTTTAAATGAAAGTTCTTGAGATGTCCATATATATCTTCATATATACAGGGCCATGAGTCAAAGGATGCAGGTGCCCTCCAGAAGGTAGGAAAGGCAATGAAATGGGTTCTCCTTGAGAGCCTCCAGAAGGAACACACAGCCCTGCCAAAACCTTGGTTGTAGGATTTCTGATTTCCAGAACTCTAAGAGAATATATTTGTATCCTTTAAGCCACTAAGTGTGTGGTAATTTATTACATCAGAAGTAGCAACTAATAGAGGCTACAAATTTATGTTTTAATGAATTCTTTCCATAATGAAGTATCACAATGCCCACAAGATTCAAAGAATGACCTGCCTAGAAAAAAAAATAGGAAGCCCACAACAAACCAAGCCTGTAAAAAAAAAAACCAAACATTTCTCCTTATTTATTTGCAGATATGGTCTCTAAAATAGAGTTATCTATGAGAATTCACGAAGAAGTACATTTCAAAGCTCTATCTTCTGAAAATAATGATGAAAAATCAGAAACATCACTAGAAACTGAAAGACCTACTCAAGTGGAAATAGACACATTTGTGGAAAATACCCTGTCAAACAGTCAGCTCTTTTCAACTGATTACTCTTTGTCTTCTCAAAATTATGTTGCTCAAAAAGGTAAGAAACAAGCTATTTGTTCTCCAATGCAGCAAGTAAGGAAAAAATTAGATTCAAAATTACATCGCATCAAGTGTTAACATATTTTTATTTATAAATTGACAGAAGATGCTTCTGAGTGTCAGATTCTGAAATATTTATTTCAAATTGATGTTTATGATTTCCTGAATTCTGCGTTTTCACCAATTGTAGTTCTTACAGAAAGGGTAAGTTGACATTTTAGATGTTTTCAATAATTTTACCTATTTTACTAAGTATAGGAACAGCTGAAAATTATGTTTGAGTGAATCCTTCCTATGTGAGTGTTACATAATATTTCTCTTTACATAAGATCTTACATGTAAGCTTTCTCCTTACATGAATGTTTTGTTGAGTGGATGTTGCTAAGGATTTTTTCTAAAACTTTCCTTAAGCTTTGTTGATCTTGAGCATTTGGGTTTTTTCCTTCCCCTTTTTTTCAAATCGGGAAATTACACTATGAGTTAACTCAGAAATAATATGAACTGAAAATTAATCTTAAGCAAATTATTAGTATTTGAATGACAGCTGTGACCTCAGAATGGTGTAATGTGAGAGTCTTGCAAAAGCAACTAGTACCTCAAAATTTAACCAAGTCATAACTGAAATTCTAAAATCTGTCCACTTTTTCATTTATTGTAAATCCTATTAAATTCTATCTCATTTACTGTAAATGAAATATTGCAAAAGGACATAGCTGTAGTACTTGGCACATGGGGCCTTTTACAAATGTTTGTTCCTTTTCTCATCTACTGCTACCAAATAAATAATTGAGAAAGCACTTTTGTCTTCTCATTTACATTTTAAGATGAAATTTAACAGTGGTTGCCTTCAAGGAGTTCACTCTAGTTGGAGGACACCAGAAAAAAAAATGCAATAATTATAATATAGTGCTGTAATAGCCACAGGATGCTACTGATATACAGGAGCTGCCTAGTAGACTGATTGGAAGTGGTAGGTAGAGAGGGTGGGGAGGAGGAGCCTGGGAAAATGTCCCAGAAGAGATCTTACTTGAGCTGATATTGAAGAAAGAGTAGGAGTTAGCCAGGCAAGAAAGGATAAACATTCCAGGTTGAGGAGAGAGCATTTTTAAAAGTACAGAAGTGGGAGAGAGCTTGGCATTTTTGGAGATCTATAAGCAATTCAGTCTGATTGAATACAGAGTGAGACTGAAGTTGTATACTGGGATTATGTAAAAAATAGCTTTGCATGTTATGATAGGAAGTTGAACTCTATCTTTTAAATGATGGGGCACTATTGAGGAATTTTAAGTAGGGAGTGAACTGAAAAAGTTTCATTTTTAAAGTCTATCTGTCAACATTGTCAAATAAGAATTGAACCAGATAAAGACCAGAGGCAGGGAGGCCAATCAAGAAGTTATCACTTTAGTTCAGGAAATAAATGGTGAAGGTCTAAAACAGGGTTTATAAACTCAAATGAAATGAGTGCAGCACAGGTAAAAGTGAGAGCTGTAACCAACTGGAGAGTGTATGCTTTCTCTGAAACATGTAGCTGCTACTTACCTTCAGCCTAGTTTTTGCCAGATCTTCTGATATTTCAAGAAAAGTTGGAAATCTGGGTTCTTTTGTGTGAAATCTCCCAATTTTTAATGCTGGCAAATATTTAGATTAGAAAAAATATCATGCAGTTCAGACAAAACATTCTGTGGGTTGGGTCTGGCCCACTAGCCACATTTTTAAACCTTTGGCCTAACATCTGATAGTGGTTGTTAAAATGATTGGAAGGACAAACTAGGTAGATTTTTGTAGTTAGAATTCATTGGATTTAATGATTGATCGAATGTAGCAAGGAGAAGAAAATGGAAAAGTGAGGATAATTTACCAGAGTTTTAGTTAGGGTGACCAGGTGCCACTGACTGTAAGAGTATTTGTGAAAACTAGGCTTAATGACACATATTGTTTTGCTTTCAGAGGCTTCTTCCTTACTTTATTTCTTTGCTGGTTTCCAGAGAGTTGACATTACTTGGTAAATAAGTTCAGAGAAGTGATTAATTTACTCTGTATGATTTGGTGTTGAAGATGTTGATTAAAAACATTACTTAGAAATCTGCTCTAGCATAGGAGAAAAGGAAAACTAATAATAATGATGTAATTTATAAAAATAGTCATAATAAAACTTTCAATTACCCATTTAATTAATTCTACTTATTAGTATGTCCAACTGACATAGCCCTCACTTGTCATCCCCCTCTCCCATAAATTATACCAGTGAAGTTACTAAATTAAAAAATAATTTATTAGTACACCATATTCACCTTTCATATAAAGTGCTCACCTAATACAGGCTATGCTAAGTAAGCTTACTTTTGTGGACTCATTAAATATCATCAAATACATTTTACTTGAACCATTTTGGTTGAAATTCTTCAGACATGAAAATACTGAATTTAAATTTGTTAATTATCTTGTGACCTTGGAGAGTCACTTTTTCTCTGGGGAAGTCTCGGTTTAAAACTGTAATACCAGTAGCAGAGACTAGATGACAGACTGGTCACTGGCTGGCTTGAGCATTGTTTAAAAATTATGAACCAGCTGACTACATTTAAAAGGTTAGTTCAGGGCTTCCCTGGTGGTGCAGCGGTTGAGAGTCCGCCTGCCGATGCAGGTGATGCGGGTTCGTGCCCCGGTCTGGGAAGATCCCACATGCTGTGGAGCGGCTGGGCCCCGTGAGCCGTGGCCACTGGGCCTGTGCGTCCAGAGCCTGTGCTCCGCAAGGGGAGAGGCCACAACAGTGAGAGGCCCGCGTACCAAAAAGAAAAAAAAAAAATCCTGCAGATATGCTTAAAAAAAAAAAAAAGTTTAGTTCATATAAAAATCTGGATTTCTGCGTTCTCTTGAAAAAGTAGAAGACTATAATACATAGTCTTCCGTTCTTCTGTGGCAACAAGAAGCTCAAGCTGAATAGCGCTTGCATTGAATAGACATGCGGTTTTCATTTCCCTATACTTATTTCAACTGTTTGGCCTCTATACCGCTTTAAGTTCATAATGTTTGGGCTAAATACTCTGAAGAGTTTCTGCCAGTTCAGGAATTCTTAGTGGGTCTATTAAGCATCCATAATAGCTGCAGTAAATGGAAAATTTGAGCAATTTTCCAGTTAACTTTAGGCAAAAGTGTTTCCTTTTCTTCTTGCCTAAATGCTTCAGGTAATTGTTTCTATTCGCTGATAATTTTAGTTAGATTTTGTATACAAAATACTTTTTTTGAATTGTTTAAGTAATAGGAATCAACACCACTTTTTAATCTACTTTATTTTATAATTGAGGAGGCTCTTTGGGTTCTAACCTTTATATATTCTTAACTAGAATAAAAAAATACATAAATATATTCATTTGTATGTGGAATAAACAATGGAAATTACCCAGCTCTTGTTCAACAGGTAGCTCCTGATTTAGTATGTTCTGAGAACAATTCTTGCATCACTAGTGCAGAGAATGAAGATGTGGCTCAGCATGTTTGACTTTCTTTTGAAGGACTAGATCATACAGCCTGTGACACTGACTGTTTAATTAAATGGGAGTAACTAGTGTTTACAGTTTAGCAACAGGGCCCTTCATAAGGGAAATCAGTTTCTAGGTTGTGGACAAGGTTTACTGGTTAGCATGTTTCCAATGTTCTTGTATGCTTTCTAGCAGCTGTCACAAACATTAACAGCATTTGTTCTCCATTTCCTTTAAAGTAAGCTTATATAAGATGGCAAAATCCCATATCTACTTAAGGAGGACAAACTTTGATATCTTTCACATGGTAAAAATCATGTACTCTATATGAATATAGAATAAAACATTCAATTTTATTTTTATCAGTTACCTAATTTAGTATTTCTCTTTTCAATTGTAGATTTTAAGAGGGTAGTACTATGCATGACATTTAAGGAAGAATTAATCAGGAGTTATGTCCATGAAATTAGATTATGGGTTGGTAGTCACAACTCCACCTAATAGCACCCCTTTGCCACAGAAGTGTCAAAGCAGGATCACAGTGTGGAAACACAAGAGTGCAGGATGTATTAGAATCTGAAACCTTTCTCAAGGATATGAGGAGCTTAGTAGAACTTTATTTACATATTAGAATATATTAACATGAACCTTTTAAAAAATGGGATTGAAACATCTAGAGGAAGAGGTAAGTTTCTATATGACTATTAAGTGTGCAGAAAAGAAATTAGGTTTGAACCTGGCATTGAGTTTAAGTTTTACTGTTTTTGCCATGGGGAAACTTGTAGATTTTTCTTTTAAATTTCATTTATCCTTTTGTCCCTGCTCTTTTTTTTAATATTTGGAATGGTAATTATTGAAAAACTAGAAAAGGACACAGACTTGCCTCAGGGAGGGCAAAGGGATTTTTTAAAAAATGTTTTACGTTGTAAATAAATCCTGAAAGCTAATGATTCTGGAGTTCCCTGAAAATGTTCAGACTAACTGAAGAATTTTCATTCAGTAATACAGTGTTTTAATTGAGGCATATGTTGTTGTTCTAAGATCCTTTGAAATTCTAAATTTTGGTTATGCTTCTGTTTAGATTTTTTAAACTCATTAATTAATTAGTTTATTTATTTTTGGCTGCATTGGGTCTTCGTAGCTGCACGCGGGCTTTCTCTAGTTGAAGTGAGCAGGGGCCACTCTTCGTTGCAGTGCGCGGGCTTCTCATTGCAGTGGCTTCTCTTGTCGCGGAGCATGGGCTCTAGAGCACAGGCTCAGTAGTTGTGGCTCGTGGGCTCCAGAGCACAGGCTCAGTAGTTGTGGCACGGGCTTGGTTGCTCTGCGGCATGTGGGATCCTCCCGGACCAGAGCTCAAACCCATGTTTTTTTTTTTTTTTTTTTTTTTTTTTTTTTTTTGCGGTACGTGGGCCTCTCACTGCTGCGGCCTCTCCCTTTGTGGAGCACAGGCTCCGGACGTGCAGGCTCAGCGGCCATGGCTCACGGGCCCAGCCGCTCCGCGGCACGTGGTATCCTCCCAGACCGGGGCACGAACCCGCGTCCCGTGCATCGGCAGGCGGACTCTCAACCATTGCGCCACCAGGGAAGCCCGGCAGGCGGATTCTTAACCACTGCGCCACCAGGGAAGCCCCTTCTCTTCTGATTTTAGTAAGCTGTTCACATAGTTTACTTTCAGCACACACTGTCCAACACATATGAAGGTTGTGTAATACCTTAAAAATGGAGAATCGTTAAGCAATTTCTGCTCTTTGCTACTTGTGAAAGTTCCTGAAACTCCTTAAGCTGATGTGGCAAATGAGAGAGAGCACTTTGAGTTCTAAAAAACTAGCCTGCATTTTGGTCCTGAAAATCACTTGCCGTGAACTTGGGCCATTTCTGGATTCTTTTTGGCACAATAGTTCTGTTGCTGCTAGAGCTTAACATTAGGGAAGTTTCCTAAGGAACTAAGATTCTGCTCAATTATTGAGTTCTCTAGGGTGATTTGTTTAGGAAGAAGTATCTGTGGCTTTTTGAGTTGCTTCACTAAGGACATCAATTAGAAAACTCAGAGATGGGTGATCCTTTACACCTGTGTTAGCTAAAACCCATCCCCAAGAACAGATCCAGCCCTGGGTATTTTATTCAACAGACCTAAATATAGGCTCCTAAATTTAGAGGGCAAGATGCTACTTTTAGCTTCCCTTCCTCAGAGGAGAACAGCACGCGCCCAGCTAAGGTCCATACGGGTTTCATTTAGCATTTGGGTAACTAGGAGCTCATGGAGTTTAAAGAGTTTTGCCCAGCAAGTGCCCAGGTAACTCAGGTAAAAGTGAGTAAAGCCCTCGAACTCTTCGCTGGGCAGAGGAGGCCCGATCGATGTCCTCTTGCGTGGGAGAGGTTAAACTTTGCCCACACCACAGCTGACCCGAGACGCCTTCCTGTCCAAAGTCCGGACACGGTTGGCAGGAGGCGCGGGCCCTTGCAAGCCATTTTCTGACAGGAATGAAGACGGCGGCCGGTTTCCCTGGGCCGGCGGGCTCCCCCAGGGTACGACGCCGTCCGGGCTTCCGTGGGGTGCAGACAGCAGGATCTAGCGGGGCTGCGAGAGGAAAGAGATGGGGGCTGGGGCTGGGCCAGGCGCCGGCACCCGGGCCGAGGGGGCGCGTCGCGCTCACCTCGCCGGGCTACACCGAGGGGCTTCCGGGAGAAGCCTCGCCGTCGGCACCCGAGGTGGGGACTCCTGAGACCTAGTCCTGACGTTCGGGGCGGTGCGGCCCACACCACAGAACAGGCCCGGAGGTCGAATCCCATTCTCTCAGCCCCAAGCCTCTAGATTTCCAAGGCTGGGTAGCTCCGCCAGGTAGAGCCCCGGCCCCTTTAAGAGAGAACGACCGGGACACGTCTACTAACCTCGCGCGAAGTAGGAGGGGAAATTAACGGAGTCCCCGCGACCCCGCCTCCGTGCGGAGGTCTGGCCGAAACCAAACCGAGGGGTAGGGCGGCGAGGAGAGTGCAGGTCGCAGGCTCGTGCGGGCGGGCTTGGACCTTCGGATCTTCAGGACGCAAAGCGTAATCTAGGGGCCGAAGCTCCCCGGCTGAGCAGCGTGGACACTTGAGGCCCGTAGGCTCCGTTCATCTCTGGCACCTCCCCGCAGCCGGCTTCTCAGTGGTCTGCTCCGGTTGCCGGGTGCGGGTTTGGGTTCCGGACCGAACGCTGCGTGTCCGGTGCCGCTGGTGGTGGCTCGGCCGGGCCTTGGATACGGCGCCGACTGCCAGGGCAGCCTTGACTCCATGGAGGGCCCCGGGACTGTCTCTCAGCCGCACTTGGGGCTGGTCCTGGGAAAGCTTCGCCGGGTGAGTCCAGGCGCGATCCGGGTCACTTGGCTCAGGGGTCGCGGGAGACGCCCGGGGAAGGTAGCAGCCGACTTTGGCTTTGGGGTCTCAGCGGCGGTGGTCGGAGGTCCTGAGGCCAGTTCTCACCTGTCGCCGGGCTACGGCCTGTGTCCGAGACAGTAGCCAGGTTCCTAGGATGCCTGGGCGGTTTTTTTGTGCGGTGTAAGGGGACCTGGAGATCAGGAAGGTGAACAGAGCATTAGCTTAGCAGGACTTTACAAGGGTGTGTTTCCTGATTCCTAAAATGAATTAGCCTTTCGGTCGTGTTATTTATTTTGAACAGAGGTCAATAACACGTGGTTTCCCCGACAGTGAGAAACTTGAGGACAGATCCTCTGAAATGAGTTCCTTATAGTACTGAAACTTCAGATTGCTTGGAAAGACACCTAAGCCTGGGTAGGGAATCGGTATTCTAATTCTGCGTTTTCTTTTAATAAAGAATGCTTTTTTGAGATGCTTTACCGTAAGTGAGATTGTTCTTCATTTCTTTCTGTGTCTCGTTAATGTGAGAGGTCGTGTTAATGTAAAATCTGGAGATACTGAGCTCCCAGTGTTCACAATTTCCTTTTTTTTTTTTTTTAAGGTTCAGTTTATAATCAGGTTGCAGGGATTTTTCTCACTAAGTGTTTACAGGTGTCTTTGTTGACATGTTTAGGGGCATTTATGTCGCCGTATTTTAAAAAAACTATTTGCATTAAAAATGTCAAAAGCCCCTTTAAACATTGGGGCAGTTATGATGATCGGTTTCTTGTGTACAGCAGACTGGGAGCAGTATTACTAGAGTGTAAAGCGGGCTCAGGGAGTTGATGTGCAGTGATGCTTGTTGGAGATGTAAGTTTGTTCCAAGTGATGTAGGTGCTGGAGAGCCCTTGAAGTATTGCAGTGGTTAGACTTTTGGTTTAAATAGATCTTCCTGATAGTAGTATGTAGGTTAGGTGTAAGGACAACAAAACTAGAAGCAGGGTGTAAGGGAGAGGTGACAGAGTCGTCAAGTAGGGGTAGAGAAGAGGGTACTGAATGGGAAATATTTAGTAGCTAAGAACTATAGTGGTAGGAATTTAATGATTGTATGCAAAGGATCAGAGAGAGAAAAGGAATCTAGAATGACTCCCAGTTTCTAATTATGGCAACTTACTCATTCAAAGAGATAAAATATATAGAAAGATAAGGATTTGTGGGATGAGAGAGAATTTCAGATTGCACATATTTCCCTTTCTTCACGAAAAACAACTCTGTGAACAGTATCTTCATCTGGATGATTTTTTTGGCTAAATGCACTATGCTAACAACACTGGCCTGGCGCCTAGGATAGCACAACACTGTTCTGTTTTTAATTTTTTTTTTAAGTTAAAAAATAATTTTTTATTGAGGTATAATCATATAACATAAAATTTACCCTTTTATAGTATCGAATTCAGTGATTATTTTTTATGTTCATTATATTGTGCAGCTATCACCACAATTTTGGAATATTTTTATCACCCTAAAAAGAAACCCTGTCCTAACCCATTCCCAGTTCTCACCGCACTCCATCCCTGGGCCACCACTAATCTACTTTCTGTCTCTATGAATTTGTCTATTCTGGACATTTCATGTAAATGGATCATACGATATGTGGCCTTTTGTGTCTGGCTTCATCTACTAAGCACACTTTCAAGAGTCTTTCGTGTTGTACCATGTAACAGTACTTCATTCCTTTTTATGGCTGAAAAATATTTCATTGTCTAGATATACTATATTTTGAATATTTATTCATAGTTTAATGGATATTTGGGTTGTTTGTACTTTTTGACTACTATGACGAATGCTGCTATGGACATTCATGTACAAATTTTTTTAATGAATATTTTAAGTTCTCTTGGGTATATACCTAGGAGTGGAATTACTGGCTCATATTTACTGTATGTTTAACTTTTGGAAGAACTGTCAAATTGTTTTCCACAGATGCTGTACCATTTTACACCCCCACCAGCAGTTTATGAGGGTCGAATTTCCCACATCCTCTCCGATACTTTTTTTTTCTAAATAGTCACTCTAATGATGAGTGTAAAGTGGTATATCTCGTTGTGGTTTTGATTTGCAGTCCCCTGATGACTAATGATGTTGAGCAACCTCACATGTGCTTATTGGCCATTTGTGTTGTCTTCTTTGGGGAAATATCTATTCAGTTCTTTTACCATTTAAAAAATTGGATTATTTGTCTTTTTAGTGTTGAAGTCATAAGAGTTCTTTATACATTAACGAAATTAGACCCTTATCAGGTATATGATTTGCAAATATTTTCTCCTGTGGATTGTCTTCTTACTTTCTTGATGGTGACCTTTGAAGCACCAGGGTTTTTAATTTTGATGAAATCTAGTTTATCTTTTTTTTTCCTTTGGTTGCATGTGCTTTCGGTGTTATATCTACGAAACCAGTGTTTAAAATAAGGTCACAAATATTTACATCTGTGCTTCCTTCTAAGAGTTTTAGCTCTTACATTAAAGTCTGTGATCCATTTAAAATTAATTTTTATATATGGTATAAAGTATGGGTCCAGATTCATTTGCTAGCGGGTAGATATTCACTTGTCCCAATACCATTTGTTGAAAAGACTCCTCTTTCCTCATTAATTTTGTATTGGTACTGCTGTTAAAAATCAATTGACCATAATTTTTTTTAATTGATATAGTTCATTTACAATGTTATATTAGTTTCAGGTGTACAACATAGTGATTCAGAACTTCTATAGATTATCCTCCATTTAGAGTTATTATAAAATATTGGCAATATTCCTTGTGCTGTACAATATATCCTTGTAGCTTATTTACTTTATGCATAGTAGTTTGTACATCTTAACCCCCTCCCTGCCCCTCCTCCCTCCCCACTGGTAACTACTAGTTTGTTCATTATATCTGTGAGTCAGTTTCTGTTTTGTTGTATTCACTTGTTTTATTTTTTTAGATCCCACACACAGTGATAACATACAGTATCTGTCTTTCTCTGTCTCAGTCATTTCACTAAGCATAATACCCTCCAGGTTCCTGTGTTGTTGCAAATGGCAAAATTTTATTATTTTTTATGACTGAGTAACATTCCATTGTATCTATATCTGTATCTATCCCATCTTCTTTATCCATTCATCTGTTGATGGACACTTAGGTTGCTTCCATATATTGGCAATTGTAAATAATGCTGCAATGAACATTGTGGTGCATGTATCTTTTCAAATTAATATTTGTATTCTTCGGATGTATGCCCAGGAGTGGAATTGCTGGATCATATGGTAGCTCTATTTTTAGTTTTTTGAGAAACCTCCATAATGTTTTCCACAGTGGCTGCACCAGTTTACATTCCCACCAACAGTGTCCAAGGGTTCCCTTTTCTCCACATCCTTGCCAGCATTTGTGGTTTGTGGTCTTTATGACGATAACCTTTCTGACAGGTATGAGGTGATATCTCATTGTGGTTTTGATTTGCATTTCTTTGATGATTAGTGACGTTGAGCATCTTTTTATGTGCCTGTTGGCCATCTGTTTGTCTTCTTTGGAAGAATGTCTTTTGAGGGCTTTCACTCATTTTTAAATTGGGTTGTGTGTGTTTTTGACATAGAATTGTATGAACTGTTTATATATTTTGGATATTAACCCTTTATTGGTCAGGTCATTTGCAAATATTTTCTCCCATTCGTTAGGTTGTCTTTTCATTTTGTAGATGGTTTCACTTGCTGTGCAAAGGCTTTTAAGTTTAATTAGGCCTTATTTGTTTATTTTTACTTTTGTTTCCTTTGCCTTAGGTAACAGATCCAAAAAAATATTGCTATAATTTTTGTCAAAAAGTGTTCTGCCTATGTTTTCTTCCAGGAGTTGTTTTTTTTCTTTTTAAAAATTTATTTATTTAATTTATTTTTTTTTTGACTGTGTTGGGTCCTCGTTGCTGCATGTAGGCTTT